GGTGGTTTGTTGTTGTGGTTTTTTGGTTGTTTTTTGAGATAGGGTTTCTCTGTAGTTTTGAAACCTTTCCTGAAACTCACTCTGTAGACCAGGCTGGTCTCAAACTCACAGAGATCCACTTGTCTCTGCCTCTTGGGTGCTGGGATTAAAGGTGTGCAGCACCACCTGGCTCCTACTGTTTCTAATAAGTTGAAGTCCTGCCTTTTCTTACTCCACCAGAGTAAACAGTCATAGAATTCCCCTCCCCATGTTTATTACTCCACAACACATCTTTCTTCTTTAATAATTTCTCTGCTTGTATCTGAAGGATAGCTATGAGGAACAGAGGAACCTTGAAGGGTGAAGAGAAGCATTCCAATCTCATTTTTCTGTCAACCCATCTTTTTAGACAGCCATATAACTCTTCCACTTAAACATTTGTTTGCATTTCTCCCTACCAGAGATAAAGCATGTGTAATTTTACCTTCTTTGATTTGAAATACAAGTAATTTAAAGTGATAAACCCTTCCAAAACACAAAGTTCAATACTGAAACCAAAGAAATGAGGGCTGGAGAGATGGCTCAGCAGTTAAGAGCACTGGTTGTTCTAAAGGATTTGTGTTCAATTTCCAGCATCCACATGGCAGTTCACAACTGTCTGTAACTCCAGTTCTAGGGAGTTTGTTTCAGAACTACTCAAGTTGGTAAAAATAAAGCAACGTATATGAATATTTAGTCAATACAATAGTTTTCAGATTGTAAAGCCCACAGATTGTTCATATTCAACAATAAGATTAGACACATAGGAAATTAAAACAATGTTTTTCTCAAACTGCTAATTAAATAAATGCTATGAGCATCCTAGTTTGGTGTCTATAAAAACCCTTCATCAAGGGATGTTATAATAGAATTATATTAGTTACATTTTCAGTAATAAAACAAAGGAGAGATGTCTATTAATTAAAAATCTTTACTCAGGCTGGAGAGATGGCTCACATGGAAAAGCACTTACTGCCAAGCCTAATGGTCTGAGTACAACCCCTAAAACCCAAAGAGAAAACTAACTCCTACAAACTGATCCCTGAGGTCCAATTGTGTGCTATGGTACAGACAGGGCCATGTGTGTGTATGTAATAAAAAGCTTTTAAACTATTTACTCGATCAAATATTCTTCTGCACATATAGCCACAAATTTATCTGTAGATATAAAAGTAATTACTTCTTCTTCTGGTTCATTCACTTCACTTTCATTTCCAGACTGTTCTTCAGTTTCAGCTCCTCCTACTTCTTCTTCATCATCCTCTTCAAGATTTTCCCCTTCTGTCATAGAATCTTTGGACTCCTTGTCATTTACTAGGCCTTGAAAACAGGACAAAAGTAGGAAAATACATTTAGAAAGATAAACACTATAATATCATTTTTTAAACCAACACTTTACTTAAAAATTATTAATTAAATAATCAAAAGCCATTTTCTCAGAATAAATGATCAGAATTGAAAATAATTGTAAGAAACACTGCAAAAAACTATACATTTGCCTCTAGACTAGAAAAATAATATGTAAGTATGTATATACCTCTTTTCCCTTTTCTTAAAGCTTCAAATACTTAAAAGAGTATCCTATCCCGTCAAAACTCTGTCTCAGACATATATAAAAAAGACCCATGGCCACAGTCTACAAATAATAGTTCAGCAAGCTCCAAAACTACAAAAATAAAATAAAAATCAAGTCACTTTAATGGAGAAATTACATTTGGCTATCAATTTCAATGCACTTTAAAAAGGAAAGAATTACTAATAATGTGTACTAGTCTTTGCATTTTATGAGTATCAAATGTCAGAGTTTGAATTACTAGACAAATCAGTAACAACAAAAATTTACTCTAGTGCTCTAAGCCTAAGCAACTGGAAAAATTATTTAAGCACAGAGCAATTAATGTACCTATTTTCAGTCTACAGGGAAAAAGAGAACAGATGAATAAAGTTCAGAAGTACCTAATTTTAAAGCAAAATTCATACTGAAGACCAACAGATAGTGTCTCGGGTTACGTTTCCATTAATAGAAGTATTTATTTATTGCTTACTAGCTTTCATACATAAAAGTAGTAGATTTTATATGTGTGTATGTGTGTGTATATGTATGTTGTGTGTATATCATGTCATGGCATAAGTGTTGAGGTCAGAGGACAACCCACAGAAGTCAGTTCTCTCCTACCATGTAAGTTCCAGGAACCAAAGTCAAGGTCAGGTTTGGTGGCAAGCATCCTTACCTGTTGAGCCATCTTGCAAATCCCTAACTAGATTTTAAAAACAAAGCATTTGGGGGCTGGAGAAATGGCTCAACGGTTAAGAGCACTGACTGCTCTTCTAGAGGACCCAGGTTCAGTACCCCAAACTCACATGACACTTTGCACCTGTCTGCAACTCCAGGACCCAACACCCAACACCCATACATAGTAAAATACCAATGCACATAAATAATAATAAAAACATTTTAAAAACCAAAATATGACTGATAATTATCAAAGGCAAAGTCAGTTTATAATCTAAATGTTACCAGTAAACATATCAACACAGAGATAACTTCTGTGATATGAAACATTACATCATTGTCCTCCCTTCTTTAAATATGCATCACTGAGAAAACAATATGTAAGGAACCGTTTTGATAGTAATGCTTCCAAAGTATCAGGAAAAATATTATTTCTAACATTTTCATTTGTACTGCAACAAAGCTTCAAAACCAATTTTTAAGTATTGCTTTTTGCATTCGCTCAACTATATAATAACTAAACTATGAATTCCTAGGAAATTGTCAAGTAAACAATGTATATAAACCATGCAAAATACAGACAAAATTTAGAATATTAAAATGTTAGAAGTATACTTGGGGAACAAAATAAAATGCATTTATCTTTCAACTTGAATTGCTTCATGACTCAGTTTTTTCTGCTTATCACAGGAGTGGTAACAGCTGCAAAGCCTCTGTTCAGGTGGTTTAACGTGTATTTCTCTGCTTAGTTGAACTTATCCTCCATATATTTGGAAGTCACAAGAGCATGTGTTTTTTATCCTGTCTTATACCTTAGCTGGTGCTTTAATTTGAGCTTTGTTTGTCACACATAAGTAATACCTCCATCATTCTGGCAAACAAACCGTATTCATTAGAACATATATGTCATGTTCATTTACCTTTCCTTACAGATGCTAGCCTATCAATTTGCTTGTGCACTTCATATAAAAGTGATAATAACTTGGCATGGAAACAATTTTTCTCTTAATTTCAAACTGTATAAAATGTGTGCATTTTGTTGGGTTTTGTTTATTTTGTGGATTTGTTATCTTGTTTTTCTGGGACAGAGTCTCCCTTAATATTCATACTGGCCTTTGACTCTTTGCCTCTGCCTTCCGAGTGCTGAGATTACAGGTGTATGCCACTGAACCACATATACAGAAAATTTCAAACAACCAAATTTATTATTTTTGGGTGCATTCTTCTACAATTTAAAATTGGGAAACACTGGTACTAAATCATATTTAAGCCTTTAAAAAATAAATATTTAACACATTTGGTTCACTGGTTTTCCTTATTCTATTTTTAAAAATCCTTATTCATCATATGCTAAATTGCCTTATTTATTATTAATTAGAACTAGTTTTGGACCTTTAATAGCTTTTGGCTTTGTTTTCAATTTAAATATATTCTTTTGCTCTAAAACATACTTATTTATTTATATATCTTATTTTCTTTCATTTTTGTATTTTTATGTTTTTATTTTTCCAGACAGGGTTTCTCTGTGTATCCCTGGCTGTCTTTGAACTTACTCTGTAGATTAGGCTGGCTTCCAACTCACAGAGATCCGCCTGCCTCTGCCTCCTGCGTGCCAGGATTAAAGGCCTGTGTCACCACCACCTGGCTTGAATATTATTGTCACTTCTCTCTCATCTGTTCTTTGCAGTACTAGTTGGAACTCCCAAAATAAAATTAAATAATATCACTTTGGCTTTATTTGTAATTAAAAAAGTCTTAGCCCCCTTTTCGTTCTATTCTATCTACCTAAACAAATGAAAGTCACTTTAAAAAATAAGTGATATAAAATGAGAAAAACCTTAGAGTCAAACAATAGAATTAAGTAACTAAGGCAAATTCAAACAAAGGAATATAATCTATTTAAAAAAAAAAACCCAAAGATTTAAAAAAGTCCAGTTACAAAACTGCAAAAACCATGAAAAATAAAAAAATACAAAGTATATCAACACATCATTCTTTCTGAATGCAATAAGTGATTTTCTTTGAATTATTCAGAATAACTGCCATAAACATCTGTGATAATACTGTAAATGGTTTAAGACATTAAAAAAATAATTTTAGTATTTCCCACTAGCTTCACTCTTTGCACTGGATGCTATAAAACTAATATGAGGCGTTTCCAGGTGCATAAAGACAAACAATAAAAGGCAAAAATATTATACAATGCTATAGTCTATTAACAGAAAGCTTACTTAAAATATATCCTTTGCATATAACCTCTTCCTTTTATCTAACCTCTAAAATCAGGAGGAAAACAGAGACAACTTGGCACAGACCCATTTTAAGTGCCACCATATTTAGAGTTTCAAACCATATATGGTAATTCATTTTTTGCTCTTTGGGCTCCCCAAAAGAAATTCAAAGTCTTTTAACTCTTTAATTTACAAAAAAAATAATCTTTTCTCTATCCTTATATGCAATTGAACCATTTATGAAAATTTCTGGGCTCTAGGCTACACTTTAACAATTTAAAAACATATAAAGAATATGAATACTTAAAATGATAAATATAAGATGATAAGCTTTGCTGAAGTGTTTATGTAATTGGAAATCTGAAAAGAAAAAGAAATTGGGTAACTTGGGTCAAGGTTGAAAAGCCAAGATTCACCCTAGGTCTTTGTGAGGTGAGCAACAGAAAAGTACTTGCACAGTCAGTTGGCAGGAATTTGAAAAAATCAGGCAAGCACAAGCATGTTCTCCAAATGAGGAATTACCTTGGAGATAGCAACTTACCAATATTCTGGATGCCTGGGATAGGGAGGGGACTATTATTTATGCCCCCTTTACTTTAAACTGATTCTTGAGACATATAACCTAATAAAGTAATAGCATAAGTGTAACTGAAACTAAAGATGTGCATGAACATTCTACATGCTAATGAGAAATAAAATAATAGTTTTACCAATCCTGAAAACATAACTTTGAAAATATTACAATAAAACAGATAAGACAGAAGAGCTGTTAGCATACAAACTAGGTTGGCATGACTAGACCTTGTACTTGTTACCTGGTGACAGAGCTAGTATACTGCTGTATTCCACAGGGGGTGACACACAAATGAGGTTAAGTCTTCTACAACTACCTCAGAAGGATGAAGAGAATTGTAAAGATAATCTTCTAGCAGCGCATTTTCTCTAGACTCTGAAGGACAGCCAACTCTACTAACGAATAAGATCGGAAATTTTGTAGAGTTACTCCAAACTTTAAAGTGGTACTCCCTTCCACACTCCAAAGCCCGTGTGTTCTCAGGAATAATAGCAGTTGAAAATATGCTATACATATGAGACCTTTCATCCAAAGGCTTGATCAGAAACCAGAGTCTAAAATTAAGAGCAGTTCACAAGATTGTATTTTTTTCTTCACTATCACTTGCTTTAAGTCCTGCTTGACTGTTTTTTTTTTTTTTTTCAATCTGAGATCACTTAGTGAAACCAAATAGGTCACAAAGGTCTCACCTAACCCTATTATGCAATACTCAACATCAAAGATACAAAGTATGCAAATACAAAACTCTGACTGGAAACATTACAAAACAGATTCTAGAGACAATCTGACCAAATCCCCTTCATTTTCTCTCTGTAATGAATTGCTTACCTAGTTTTATTAAGAATTCTCGTTCCAAGTCTTGTACCTGCCTGATGGATTCTTCCAGAGAATTACAGAGTTTGATCTTTGGTCTTAGAAGTTCTAGTGTATCACTGATCATGTAATCTATATCAATAGGAAATGGATGGTCTTTTGTCCAAACCTCCAAACTTTTCTTCCACCAAACATAACGCTGATAACAAATGAAAAGTAAAATTTAGCTATAAGAAATTAATAACAAAAATTTAAAATAGTAAGTTGTATTGTAATGTTACCTAGTTAAAATAACTAAGTTAAAAGACTGAACAAGAAACCTATACTTTTTATTAAAGGTCAACAGCAATGATCCTAATCCCAATCATTTCCTCCTATCTATGTAATTTTTGAGCCAGTTGTTGACTTTAGTCAAACATTTTTATTCTGGCTGTCATAGGTTTAAAAAAAAAAAAAGAAAGAAACAGACATGGAAAAAGTATAAACGAAATGCCAAATACTCTTTCAGGTACTCTGAAACAAAAGTAGAAAACCCATTTCCACACCCCGTAGTTGACACATTTAACTTTATAGAAGCAGATTCGATGCCACAGTTTTGATAAATTGTCATTATTTTTTCTATGCTATTTGCTTCGATATTTTTTTTAAAAAGGTCATTAAAGTATCTGAGGATTGAACTTTTTGAAAAATATAAGTAAATTATGAACATTTACTAAACAGCTACCATGTACATGCTACTATGTAGATATTTCTCCTCTATACTAGTGTGTTCCATCATTTTACCTGCTCATGTTCTATTCCTAATATATATTAACAAGTAGCACAACCTAAGCATATATATATTATAAAAAATGTTTTTTTATAAAAAATATATTCTTGCTAGCACAAACGTGTTCTTCTTCCTCTTCACCTTGTGGCCTAGGCTCTTGTTATTCAAAGTGTGGGTCTCGCCAGGAAGCTTATTAAAATGAAATGTAGATTAAGTTCCAATAATTTTAGCAATGTCCCAGATAATACACATGCACTTGGAGTTCAGCATTTTTTTTAACCTGCCTTCTAGAACCTTCTAAAACATAACCTATACTCTATTCTAGTGAGATATAACAACCTCACCACAGAGGGCTGACATTTTCATATTCTAGGCAGAATAAAAATCTCATCTCTGAAGCCTAACTCTTGTTTTTCTATCAAACTAACTTGGAAAACACCTTTGTTGATTTTCAGTCCGGGGTATTTCTGTGTGGCTCTTGTATCTGAGGCTGAAATAGCAGACATCAAAAAAGGATTCTCTTCTCAAAGAGACTCTACTTTGGATATTAATACTTACAGCCATCTCTTTCAAGCATAACTCAGGTATTTAATATAGACATCTCCAGTTTAAGACAGTCCTTACATAAAACAGACTTTTGACTCCCAAACCTGCAAATTCCTTCCCTCTTGCTCATAAATTCATAAAATAAGGCAGTAGATACAGGAGTAGGATTAAGTTAAAAATGAAATTCCCCAACATTATTTACTCCCAGATCAATTCTGGCTACTATGTGAAAGCATTTCCAATGCCTGGAGTTATAATACTTCTTCTCAAGAGGTAAACTGCTAACAACTGTGGTTGTGTATGATCGAATACTATTGATATTTACTCAGCAACAACTTAAGCATTTGATGACGAGCTGTTCTTTCTAATTAATACTTATTATATTGTATTTTACAGGGAATGATGACTGAGGTATGTGCAACCAATCTAGAAGTTACCGTGTGTGATACAAACTTTACAGAAGTTGTACAATTACACCTATATTTGTACTGAATTTAATTTACGCCATACTTAATCTAAATCGAATTATGGAATAAATAAAATATAAAAAGCACAACCCAAGAGTTTACTAATAAATGCATTTGGTTTCTGAAATATAAATGTTTACATGATCTCCTATTTCTCTAAATAGGTTAGTAAGTAAACAATTAAGCAGATTAAATTGGATCTTTTAGAAACAAGCATTTTGGATATAAACTAAAACATGCATGAGAGAAGAATGTTATCAAGTTGCAAGTAGCTGGTTGTGGCAATGCATATCTATGATCCCAGCACTTGGGAAGCTGGGGCAGGAGGGTCATGAATTCAAGGCCAGGTGACACACTTGCTCAAAAAACAAACAAACCCAAAACCTTCAGGTACTTTAAGAATTACTGTATCAAATACCATAATCTATATACTGTGCCAAATTCACAATCTACATAATTCTCAAAATTAGCAACCAATCATTATTGATAATAAATGCTGCAAAAAATTAGAGTGTGTTTGTGTATGAATCCATCACACAATTAATTTAAGGTCTCTACAATAAGTACAACCTAATTTTGAACATATATAAACATATATCATGTCTTTGTTAAAATTTTTGTTGTATATTCATTCAATGATACCACACTGCATATTGTGCTTACATACCTGAAAATATACAAGGAAGCAGTCAAGTTTTCGTTTACTGGAACCTCTGTCAAAGTACTGGCCACAGGTATCCAAAATAGTACATACTAATCTAATTCTGAACAGATGCTCAGGAGGGTCCAGTGAACTTGGAGAACCATCAGGGTTGACACCAAATGAAGTAAAAGAATAAAGAGTTCTGAAAATAACCGCTGATTCCACCATTCTGTAATTATAAAGTTCTCCTAA